AAACCGGCAAAAAAAAAAAAAAAAAAAATCGGCATTATATATCGGCTGCCCTGATTTCTAAATATCAGCCAGAGAAAAACCCATATTGGTCGACCTCTACTCGTGATTTCAAATTATGCTGTGCTTTATGCTTTTGCCCACTGTCATATTCATGTCATTTTCACTGTCAGGTAATCGCGCCGAAGTGCATGTGGTTCTTATCGCTGGGGAGACAGACGCAGAGGTTTAGCGCCGGAGCGTCTCGGTCAGACGAATGAGCTCGCGCGGCTCTCACCTGACCACGCTGAACTTCAGGCTGTAGCTGCCGCCGCTCTGAATGATGGGAGGGTAGCACATCTCCACCGTCGACGGGTCCACGCCGCCCAGAAACTTCCGGTCCTCGATGGCCTTCTCCACCGACTCGGCCAGACGACTGTGCTTGACTTTCTGAGGAACAGACACAGACGTGAGCAGACGGACCACGACCGGAAAACACTAGCCACAGAACAACTCTGGATCTCCACTGCGATAACTAATAACAGGGATATGAAATAAATTATGCATTTCAGATTATGTTACACATTCAACTGCAAAAACAACGGCAAGTTTAAAATGCTTAAAACTTGTTTTATTCAATATTTACACGAGTAACTGGTTTATGTATATATTGAAATCTATAAATGAGGTCGACAGATATCATGTAACAAGTTGTTGTTTTACATTGAACATCAAGCACTTACCGAGGTTATTAGCATTAACTAAACCATAAAAAAAACATGTTACCTGAAATAAACTTTAACTGAAATTTATAAAAAAAAAAAAAAACTTTAAATTGTATGTAGCTACAAAGACAATATTTCTCTTTTTTATTTTAAATTGAGGTCTAAAAAACTGAAACTGAAGTAAAAATGAATAAAAACTATATAGATATTAAAACAAACAATAAATAAATAGCGGCAAGACAACAAAATTACTAAATTATAAACTAAAATTAAAATGAAGACAAAAACAATTCAAAATATCAATAAAAACTACAATAGCATCTCAATGATACTAAAATATTAACTTTTTTTTTATTATCACCCTTTGAAGTTCAATCGCAAACTAGACGTGCGATATACCATTCGGTACATTTTTAAATGATTTAATAAAGAAATTAATAATTTTGTTGGTCAAGCATGCATTAAATTGACAGTAAAGACATTTATAAGGTTACTAAAGATTTCTTTTGTACATAAATGCTGTTCTTTTGAACTTTCTGTTCATCTGTGAATCCTGAAAAATAAAACTTATGACGGTTTCCACAAAAATATTGTTCAGCACAACTGTGTTCAACATTGATAATAATCAGAAATGTTTCTCGAGCAGCAAATCAGCATATTAGAGTGATTTCTGAAGATCATGTGACACTGAAGACTGGAGTAATGATGCTGAAAATACAGCTGCGCATCACAGAAATACATTACAGTTTAACAGATATTCACATATAACACAGATATTTTACATTCTAATAATATTTCACATTTTTATACTGTATTTTTGATCACATAAACGCAGCCTTGAGCAGAATATCAGAAGTTTTAAAATCTTAATGATTCCTAACATCTCTGGCTCCTCAAAGCCGAACTCCTACTTTCCTCCCGTCTGCTATGGCTCTGCGAGAGGACAGGCCTGCGTTATATGAACGATAGAGCGAGCCGTGCGCGAACGAACCTCGTCGGCGTCCACGATCTCCATCACTCGCTCCTTGAAGAACTTGGTGAAGACGTCGCTGGTGACGGCAGCCGCCTTCTTCATGAGCGCCAGCTCTCCGTCCTCCTTCACGGCCATCGTGTAGGCCACCGCCGTGCTGACGTCCACCTGCCAGAGCGCCACAAACACACGGCATCAGCTCATGTACGGCATGCCACGGCTCCGTATGCTCTGCATGTGACCGTCAGTAAAACAGACCCTCTGCAGGCCCTCGGCCGTGATCATGTCGCTCCAGCTCTTCATGTACTCTCCCGGGAACTTGTCCTTCATGAACACGCCGACCGTCTTGCCGTCTCTACTTCCTCGGACGGCTTCCATCATCTTCTCGAAGTTCACCTTGTTGCTCTCGTTCTGTCACACAAACATCAAAAACACGTTTTAAAGTAGCGACGGCCGCTTTTGAAGCACTGCACCGTATCAAAAAGCCGAAGTCACGTGATTTCGGTGAACTTCGGTGTTTCGGTGAACACCTTTAATGAGACATTTGTGTATTTATAAGGATGAATAGTAGTTAATAGTCTCTTAATGGCCCGTTTAGACCAGCTCTCCATAAAACAAACAAAACAAGCCATGCAAATTAACAATAATTATTACAAAAAAACACAAATGTGACCCTGCAGCACAAAAGCAGTCTTAAGTCACTGGGGTATATTTGTAGCAATAGCCAACAATACATTGTATGGGTCAAAATTATACATTTCTCTTTTATGCCAAAAATCATTAGGATATTAAGTAAAGATCATGTTCCATGAAGATATTTTGTAAATTTCCTACCGTAAATATATCAAAACGTAATTTTTGATTAGTAATATTCATTGCTCAGAACTTCATTTGAACAACTTTAAAGATGATTTTCTCAATATTTAGATTTTTTTGCCCCCTCAGATTCCAGATTTTCAAATAGTTGTATCTCAGCCAAATATTGTCCGATCCTAACAAACCATACATCAATGGAAAGCTATTTATTCAGCTTTCAGATGATCAAACATTGACTGGTTTTGTGGTTCAAGGTCACACACAGGCTACAGACCTTTTCCCGGACGAGCAGCGTGATCGCAGGAATCCCGTTTGCGTTCTCGTTGCCTTTCGTGACGGCGACCTGCTTCAGGAACTCCACCTTCTTCTTACTGGCCAGAAAAATGATCCTGGTCTCGCAAAACAGCATGATGGTGTCGGTGAGCTCGTACCCAAACAGCCACGTCTGCGGACGGAGGACATGAGCACATGAACATGCAGCGATCTCTGATGCTACTCATGTTCTCATAAACGGGGTTTTATTGCACCTGAAGGGCTGTAGACTTGGCGTAGACGATCTCCTCATCGACTCCGACAGAAACCACGATGGCGTCCACCTTCCCGAACTCACCTTCTCCTTTCTGCCACGGCACAACAGCGTTACGGTGCACAGCTACATCAGTTACACGTTATGAAGAAACTGGTTTTATCATGTCTACACATGCAAACACTCCTCTAAAGCAGCAATAAACAGTTATATTCGCAACCATACAACAATTGTTACATTTTGCTATAAGCAAAAAACTCTATGCATTATATCAAACATAACTGAGATAGTATTTTTCAACATTATACCATTTAAAATACCATTGTAACTAATTATAAAATATATTAGAATTCCATCATTTTATAATATTGTAGTTATAATTTACACTTAAATATTCTAAAAAAAAAAAAAAAAGTGGTAAAATTGAATTATTTAGGTAATGGAATAATAATAATATAATAAATTACTACAATAAAATCTAAAACAACATTAAATTATTCAACTTAAAAGCTTATATTACATTGTATAATATTAAATCAATTTTATAAAACAATATAAACAAATATTATACATAAAATTACACAAACTGCCTCTTAGTATAAAGATAACATTTATTTAGCAATGAAACAGTGCTGCAGGAATTAAAAAAGTCCTTATATTGCTTCTAAAACATAGTTTGGTTTTATTATTCTTTGTCGTGAACGTTATTAATGATAATAATAGTAGTAATAATAGTCTTTCACACCTGCAGCGTGTCTCGATATGAGCTAGCTCACAGCTAATGCTACATCTGGCTGAACTGCATCCAAACATTTAATAAACATGTACCAAATCATGAGCGAAACGCAGAGGCCGCGGGTTTATCAACACTAACCACAGCCGAGCGGCCATGGCGTCAAAACATTACATGCTAGCCAGCTAGCACACTAGCCGCTGCGCTAGTCGCGCTAACCCACAGAACACGCTCGCAAACTTCGGCGACTCCGTTACAACCGAAATAAATCCCCGTACAGACCCGCGGAGACCTGCGTGTGTTTATATAACAGTTATATGGACATGAGGCCTGAGAGTGTGTGTGAGAGACAGGATTTCCAGCATCATACGGGCGCATAAACACAACAAACGTGAATAATTTCTGTCAGAATATGATTCTTCTGATGATTTGGTGCTGTTTCTGAGCAGCTGAGAGCTCTCCGTACCTTCCAGTTCCCGTAGAGTCGCTTGATGCGGCGGTAAAACGCCTCTTTATCCAGATTCACCGCCATAATATCTCTCTCACACACACACACACTCTCTCTCTCTCTCTCTCTCTCTCTCTCACACACACACACACACACTCTCCGGTGATCTCCTCTCTCTCTCTCTCTCTCTCTCACACACACACACACTCTCCGGTGATCTCCACTGGACAAACTAATAACACTACACGCAAAAAGAACGAAAACACGGAATATAAATGCTATCTCTTTAAAAAGACGCTTCTTCTTCTCTAAAATGTGCTCGTTAAGAGCTGTCGGTCTGTGAAAGCGTTGATGATGTCGTTATAAAACACGCATGATCTTTAGCTCCGCCCCTTTCTGCTCTTTATGCATATATTTAACATTTATTTAAATATATTTATTTGTTTGACGTGATTGTTTTTTATTTAATATTTTTATTAATTTAAATTAATAGTATTCATTTCTTTGTTAGAGGTAATTATTTATTTATTTATGCTGCCATTTTGTGTCTGTTTAGACGTTTATTATTATTATTATGAACTAAACACGTGCTTGTTTCACGAAAGCACAGTATGTTTTAAAAGAACGATGCACTGAAATTAATCTGCGCGCGTTTATTAACTATATATTCGCTATTAAAGGTAACAGCGGCGTTTATTACGGCATTTGTTTTCCTGCGTGTCCCTCCCTCGCAGAAACTCCCGCCCTGATGCTCACGTCATCCGGCTTGGGACCAATGAGATCCCGCCCTGACGGTCACGTCACCGCGTACCGGCACGGTTTTTTCCCGCCATCTAGTGTCATTCGAAAGAGCGCGAACTCCAGCGGAGCACGTGGCTCGCAGCGCGTTGATAGTAATTTTTAAAAAGATAATTTAAGAAACATGTTATGAGCTAAATGATGTTAAAGTGCTAATACACTGCACTGTGACAGCTCACGCTGAAATAATAAGCATATTTTACTTTCGACCATCATTGATTTAAAGCAGGCTTCTTAATTTGTTCGACTCCGAGGCCCCTATATAATGAGATTAATTTACAGAAAAAATGTTGAACGTGATTAATTTTGTGATTTTAGAAGGGTCAATAAATGTATGTCCTTCATTAAAAACAATTAAGTATTGCAGGAACATCAATATTGTGGACATCATGCGTTTTTTGGCATTTTAATTAGATTATTTTAATATATGAATGTCAATAATATAGTAATTTAAATAATTAAAAATGATTAAAATGAATAAAAAAATAAAACATCCCATTAATCCCAAATAAAAACTAAACAGTTTAGTCATTTTTTACTTTTTAATCCAACATATACTACAAAATATAATATTGAATAATTGCATAGATGATAATTACATAAATACATATCATACATATGATACTCAACGAGGACAGACTATCCATCTATCCATCATCTATCTATCTATCCATCCATCCATCCATCATCCATCCATCCATCCATCATCCATCATCCATCCATCAATCCATCCATCCATCCATCAATCTATCCATCCATCCATCATCCATCCACCATCCATCCATCCATCCATCCATCCATCCATCATCCATCAATCCGTCCATCCATCCATCCACCCATCCATCATCCATCCATCCATCCATCATCAATCCATCATCCATCCATCCATCAATCCATCCATCCATCATCTATCCATCCATCATCCATCCATCCATCATCCATCCATCAATCCATCCATCCATCCACCATCCATCAATCCATCTATCCATCCACCATCCATCCATCCATCCATCCATCCATCATCCATCTATCCATCCATCATCCATCCATCCATCCATCCATCCATCCATCATCCATCCATCATTGTAAGGGACTGAAAGGTTGTAATTGAAGAATCATCCTAATAATAAATAAAGCTATTGTAATGACCAGACAAACACGTCACTGTTTTATTTCTTTTCATTTTTTCCATCTTATTGTTTATTCAACTCAAACTCCTCAACACAATAACAGAACTGAGATGATGTTACAACAGTCCAAGAAGTCAAAGAAGTGAAGAAAAATCAACAAAAAAAACACAATATTTCCATGAGCAGTTAAACGTATATAGTCTGTTTCTGTACATTTCCCCAATATAAAATCTCTCTGTTTCTAGTCCACATCCATCCATCCGTCACAGTAAGATCTGAGAATGTAAAAGGTATTAAAACACAAAAACTGACCACAGTAACCTCTGTTATGCCACAAAGGTCACGGGTTCCATTCCCAGGCAACGCATGAACGGATCAAATCTGGAGCTTGAATGCAATGCAGGTCGCTTTGGATAAAAGCGTCTGCCAAATGCATTCATGCAAATTAAATATATTCTACAATTGTTAGCATAATAAAATCACAATAAATATGGCATCTCAAACAGAGCCGTTTTGCTGAATCTGTCTTGATTTTGTGGCCGTTAGTTACCACAGTTCTATTGTAACCGTAACCATGGCAACAACGGAATTTTGTCCATGAACTCTAGTTACCATGGTCATTTTTGCCCTTGTTCAAAATGAAATCAAGCGAGCGCCGAAATCATGATTTTAAAACAGTCTGTGCATTATTAGCTTAAGAATCGTTTAAGTGCACGGTCTTTCTCTCTCTCTCTCACACACACACACACACACACACACACACGTGCTCAACGGCAGAAACACCCTCTATGCAGGTGCAAAAACACAGCCGCTTTAAGCTAAGCAAAGCTGGATTTTGTGTGTTGTTGCATTGTGAAATATTTCAGATTGCAATCTATAACCCAAACACAGGTTTCTGTACCTGCATAAAATGTGTTTCTGCTGTGAACAAACACACCTGGTAAAAATGGCCTCCAGCCGTTCATATACAGTTACAAATCTGTTTAAATATTCATTTTTTCCATCCTAAAAATTTTTTTTTTGCTGCTTTTCTCTCAGTGTGTGCATGTGAAGCAGCATTTAACAGTTCGAGGTCGAGTCTGATGGGTTTTTCTGCTGTTCTTATTCACGCTGAGGGTTCAGTGTCCACACACACACACACACACACACTCATCCGTGTTCATGTGTTTCTATGTGACGGTGGTTGAGTTTTGTCCTCTGATGGCGCACCAGGCCATGAACACGTCCCTGCAGACATCAGACCAAACACAACACAAATGAACACAGGTGCTCATTCAAGATGATATGCAAGAAATAAAACACATATGAGATCATTTCAACGCAAAACTGGGGGGTTGGGGTGCGCTCTAATCTCTTCTGCTGTTGCTTGTGGACAGACTCAGAGGCGTCACCAGACTTTTGCGTAGTTTAGAGTGACAGATCTTACCAGTGTACTTACAGGTCAAAATGTGTAGCTGCTACACAGAATACGTACAGGTTGGTAGGTCTGCTCCTGGCATACAGTGCAACAGAGATTTCAATAGTGCAGTCAGCAGACAGTTAGCTCATGTCAGAATGTGAAGATGCAGTAAGTGTTCTGTGATGGCTGAGTTCAGGGGACAGGGTTGTTTAGCTGTGTGTGTGAGTGAGAGAGAGTGTGTGTGTGTGTGTGTGTGTGTGAGAGAGAGAGAGTGTGTGTGTCTGTGAGAGTGTGTGTGTCTGTGTGTGTGTGTATCAGGTTGTTTGGCAGTGCTGCAGGTGTTCAGTCTCTCTCTCTCTCTCTCTCTCTCTCTGTGTTCCCGCAGGCTGCTGATCTGAGCAAGCCCATAGACAAGAGGATCTACAAGGGAACGCAGCCCACGTGCCACGACTTCAATCACCTGACGGCGACGGCGGAGAGCGTGTCTCTGCTGGTGGGCTTCTCCGCAGGACAGGTGCAGCTCATCGACCCCATCAAGAAGGAGACCAGCAAACTCTTCAATGAAGAAGTGAGTGTCGTAGGGCTCTGTCAAATAGACGTTCTTTAACATTTTCCCCAAATTCAATTTGAATTGTTCCCAGATTCTGTTTCCTGTTTTTATTTTTCTGGATTTCAGTTTTAATGGTTTAATTCAAGTTTAATAATCCAAAAGGATGGCCCTAAGAAAGTAAAAACAAAAAATTCCCAGAAATTTTGTGTTGTCTGTTTTAATTGTTCTGGATTTTGTTTTATGATTTAATGCAAGTTTATTATCCAATGAATTTGATCAGGTCCTTTCAATCTGCAGCACAACAGAAATTGCGTAATATTCCTTAATACAGTTTATTAAAACTATAGTGTATTATTATTACTTTGAGAAGGTACTTTCCACTGCACAATAGGGCTGGGCGATATGGCCAAAAAAATTATCACAATTTTTGTTCATATCAGTCAATATCGATAATTATCACAATAAATGTCACATTTTTATTTCTTTCAAGTTTAAAGCCAGATTTTTGCTCCACAATGAAAGTTGTAGAAACCAGGCTATTACATTTCCTTAAAATCTTAATAGAACAAGTTATTTCTTAGTTCCTGCATGTTCTAATGAGTGATATTGTTTCAAATTACGAAATAGGTTTGTGTTGCCAGATAATAATAATAATAATAATATTACTTTTTTTGTCTCTTAGAAATGCACATTTGATCGTCCTAGTAGCTTGAGTTAGGATGTAGATGTAAATGTATGTTCATTATCAAAATCAGTGACATCTGTAAAATGTTGTTTTTATTATTAACCATTGTGCTTCCACAGTAGCATACAATTTAGATCATGATAAACACAGTTAAAACCACACATATAGCACATCAATACCATGGTAAAAATATAACTGGGTTTTAGGTATTTGTATGAAAAACATTCGTCTAAATACATTTAGTATAAATGCACAAATGCTATAGCTTAATCATTAAAAAATCTGTAATTATATTCCATTACTTTCGGTCCCAGTCTTTGCTCTCTATGGGTGGGTTGTTGCAGCCGGCGCGGACACACACACTGGGAGCGTCTGCAGGAGGAGCATCTGGAGCCGGAGACACATTCAGCTCCACCTCCATCTGACGAGGACACACACACAGTTTGAAGCCATTTCATACAAGTCTCTATTTTTATAAAATAAAACCATCTTTTTATTAAAGGTTTGACTGTTTCAGAACTCAAAACTTTGTCGTTAGTCTAAAAACAGCTTACAGTATATTGAAGGCAGTCTGCCAAAACAGCAGCTTGTGGAATGTGACACTCTATGATGTAATAGTGTGGATAAGCACCGCCTCCGCAGAAGATGATCAACGCCTGCTTCTACAGCACTGCCTGTTTAGCCCCGCCCACAGATTCTACAGCATTCTGTTTAGCCCCACCCACCACACAGTGTAAATAACGAGAGCAGCAAACGTGGATCTGTGCAGAAATTGCGGAGTCGTTTACAAACAAGGCACAATTTGACACAGGATTTTCAAAAATAGTGAAACTGAAAGACTATACGTTGACTATATGTTGTGCTGTGCCGACTATATTGGATCCGACAGTAATGTCGCAACACAAGTGTGAGTAACTGTTTTCATTCGTTTGATATGTATTGAGTTATGCGTTTTTTAACCTAAATCACAGCAGCGAGCATCTGTGAAGGACGTAGACTGTCAAACATACACAGCAGTGGGCGTTTACTTCCGAGTCTACACCTATTCAAACAGAGCGTTCTGACGAGGGGGTTAAAACAGGACAGAAAAAAGCCTATCTTGATGACATTGTAAGTTGACCTTAGTGAACAGTACAAAACATAAAACAAAGGCAGATCATGACCCCTTTAAAATGACCTTTTATATTACATTATGATTCAATTTATTTTTAATGGTTTAGTTTAATTGTTTTCTTTTCAAAATGAATGTTTTAAATTTGTTTTATTTGATCCTTTTTCAAAGTATTAATGATTAAATTTCTTGAAGTGTTCTATTTTGATTGTTTGTATTTCTAAAATTACTTATTTTACTTTTACATTTACTGTATATGATTTAACTGACAGAAAGTGCTTTATTTCGGTCATTTCTATTTTAAAATAATTAATTTGAATGTTACATTTATGATTTAATTTTTAGAAAGTTTTTTTTTTTTTTTTGCTTTTGTTTTACAATTATTTTAATTTTACACTGATTTAATTATTTTTAGAAAGTGTTTATTTTGATCATTTTTATTTTAAATTATATATTTATTTTAACTGTATATATTTTTACTATTCAATTATATGTATAAAGTGTTTATTAATTACCTTTTTAAAGTTACATATTTGAAATTCAATTTATTATTACGGTTTAGTTTGATCATTTTTATTTTTACATTATATATGGCCCTGGAGCACAAAACCAGTCATTAGGGTCAATTTTTCTGAAATTGAGATTTATGCATCATCTGAAAGCTGAATGAATAATCTTTCCATTGATGTATGGTTTGTTAGGATCGGACAATATTTGAAAATCTGGAATCTGAGGGAGCAAAAAAATCTAAATATTGAGAAAATCATCTTTAAAGTTGTTCAAATTAAGTTCTTAGCAATGCATATTACTAATCAGAAATTAAGTTTTGATATATTTACGGTAGGAAATTTACAAAATATCTTCATGGAACATGATCTTTACTTAATATCCTAATGATTTTTGGCATAAAAGAAAAATGTATAATTGCACTTTATGGTGAAGTCAGGGACAGGGTGGCGGAGCAACTGAAGTCAGTGTCGTATTTTGCGACCACAGCTAGTGGTAGCTAGTCAAACCTCGGAACCATACTTGAGCCTGACAGTCCACTTTATTGACAAAGATTGGAATCTTGTCAGCTTATGCCTCCAGACGGTCTACTTTCCGGAGGATCACACGGGCGAAGCAATTGCAGCCGGACTTGCAGATGCGCTCGCCTCCTGGGGACTCAGCGAGGACCGCCAGGTCTGCATCACCACAGATAGCGGGACCAATATCATCAAAGCCGCTGAGCTGAACGGATGGACAAGACTACAATGCTTCGGGCACCGACTGAACTCTGCCATTGGTAAGTTATGCACAGTTAATGTAAATGCTCGCCACAGTATCAACACTGACCGCCACAAATAGATTTTCAAAAAGGCTTTGACTTCGTTAAATAAACATGAGAACTGTACGTTTCACAGTCAAAACGTGGCACGTTTTTTTTTTTTATATGAATGTGTCTGAAGGAAACCGACTGTCTTCAGAAAAGTTTCTATGTCATTTTCATTTAATCTTTCCTATAATGCCTTATAAAGTAGTTCATGACCACTGCGCCTCCTGCTGGCAGAGGATTAATAATTAGTTGACCTAGTGGCATAGTTTTTATTAGGTGATTTCTTTCCCCCTTTTTAAGTGATTTTATAGGCAATTAATTTGGTCTTTAGTCAAGACATACATATTTGTATGAATTATACATACAGCAGTTCTCTCAATTAAATTCAAAGGTGTTTTACTGGCATGGGGAACAGATGTTTACTTTGCCAAATCAGGTGTGAAAAAAATTATGTAAGCAGGAGAATTGTGAATTTTTCCGTAAGAATAATATTAATAATAATAATAATAATATAAATTGTAGTTAAAATATAAATACAAATGATAACTATATATTGCAATCTGCAATATTTTCTCTCTCTCTCTGTCTACAGAGAACGTTAACCAAGACAAACGAGCGGACAGAGCAATTGGGGTCTGTAAAAAGGTGGTGGCTGCCTTCTTCTATTCCTGGAAGAAGAAACGGGACCTTGCAACTGCTCAGGAGGAGTATCACTTGCCAAAGCACAAACTCATCAGTGTTCAAATCATATATTTGATATTTTTATTATTTAATTATATTTACAAAGCGTTAATTTTGATAGTTTTATTTTTAAATGTTATATTTATTTCAATTTAATCTATTATTAGTTTGCATCAACAGTTTCTTCACCAACAAAACAGAAAAACAGAATTTTCGTTCAGAACAGGATCTTCGCACACAGAGTTCGGACTCACCCCTTCTTCAGCGACCTCCTCGGTTGCCGTCGGCGACAGATCCGTTACTATGGCAGTGGGGGGCGGCACCTCGGCGGCTGGCGACACTGCGGTCGTTACGATGATTGGTGCGCTAACGTCGCTCTGCGCGACCGGGACGATCTTGATCTGCAGCGGCGGCGGTGGCGTTGCCGTGGCGATCACGCGCGGTTTGGCCTGCAGAGGGGGCGGAGCCGGGGAATGCAGCATCTGCTGCAGGCGCGGGGGAGGGGGCGTGTTCTGCATCTGCTGGAGCGGCGGGGGTTGCCGCGGAGACTGCAGCTGCTGCTTGGAGATGAGGATCTTGTTGGCGGGGGGCGGGGCCTGCGGTTTGTGCGCGCCGGTGCGCGAGCGCGTGGTCACCTGCGGCAGGTCCAGGATGATGTTGGAGGTGCAGATGTTGGTGATGGTGTTGTTGTCGGGGGCGTGCACCGGGATGCGGGAGGAGCGCGGCGGCGTGACGGGTTCCGGAGGAGACGCCGGAGCGTCTAACACTTCAATAGTCGGCTGCTGCAGAAAATCAACACCACATTAACAAGGGTTCTCTTAAACATACTTTTCAAATAAACACAAGCAGGGCTCCAGACTCCATTTCTTCTGATGGTGCGAAAGACTGTTGCCAGATCTAGTGAGAAGTATTCAAACTCTGCACAGAATTCTGTTATTAACAGATCAGACAGCGCTGATGTAGAAAACCAGAAGCAGTAACGCTAACTATAACCAGCGGCAGAAATACTCGAATGTTATTACATCATTCATTTCAGCGTTTGTACAACCTTTTGAGAGAGAACTTCAAGCATTTTAATGACTTTCAAGCTTTTCACACAACTGTTTCCAGCACTTTAAAGCTCTAAAAATGCTCCAGTTTGAATGTTGTTTTTAATGGGATGACCAACATATACTTTGTGGTAAACAAACACTTATGTAAATTAAAACAATAATATTACATTTTTTTATTATAACCATAAATGGCAGCAGAGGAGCACTTATTGGCTTTTTAGTCATGCATTTTTACATTTTGCTTTGTATTTAGAAATTATAAAATCACTATACAAAGTGATGATTTTACAAAGTAGTGATGATTTTACATAAAGCAAAGAGAGAATACGACAGGAATAAGACACAGCATCAAACTGGATGTGGCACAGTTGGCATTCTCAGCGATGTCAAAATAAAAGTCCCCAGACACATCAGCCAAACAAAAAAAGGCCTATAATCGTGATGTTTTTAATTATCAGCATCAGCCAATTCATGGGCCTGTGCTTTATATCTGTAGGTAGTAAAAGCTGAGCTGTGTTTAGATTTGACTAGTCGAGACGGATGATAACACCAGCTGTAAATGGGCTTGTGAATCCTATATGGCTAAGCAATATTATTGGTAATATTGTTGATTATTACTGGCCGTCTGAAGCTCACCTGCGACAGCTGATTGGCTTTATAAGCTGTCAGGGCTTTCAGATACTCCTTCTTGGCAGCTTCTGTCTTCCTCTTGTACACCTGAGAAGTAAAAACACTTTGATCAGTCAAATGCACTTTAGTCAATGTGTCAAATAAATGTAACAAGACAAACAAATCCAATAATGTTCAAGAGCATTAAAAAAAAAAAGAATTCTCTAGAAAGTACTTAATTTTGTTGGCTTTTATTTTACAATGACTTATTTTAACTTTACATTTTTATTATTTATTTTTATAAAGTGCTTAATTTTGATCATATAATTTATTTACAAATCATTTATTGTAATTATAATATGCATTATGATTATATATTTTAATTTTACAATTTTGTGATTGACTTGTTTTTTAGAAAGTGTTTATTTTGATCATTTTTAGATTACGCATTTATATTAAATTCGCATTTTTATGACTGGATTATTTTCAGAAAGTGTGCGTTTTGATCATTTTCAGGTTTTACATTATATATTTATTTTAAGTTTATTAGCACAAAAAAAAAGGTGCCGTTCGGTTAATTTAACGAAAGGCCTTTTTGAGTCAGCATTAATGAATTATATCTAATGATTTATTATTTGTTTATTGCTATTTTCATGGCAAGATCAATGCATTTTAAACATTTTATAACATTAGTAATGAAAGCAAACAAATGACAACTAACTGACAACAATAACAATTTTTAATTTCATCATACCTAATAATAATTCAATTAATTCTATGCCGATTAAGTAGTTTTACTTCATATGAATGATTATTCTGAACATTTATTTGAATATGTCATACTGCTGTTAGATAATAATAATAACACATTTTATTTATAGAGAGCCTTTCTGACAGTAAAAGAGCTGATAATTCAACTTCATTTCTACGTTTGTCCTGTTGATTTTATTCATTCTTTTGCTTGTCATTTATAAACATACCATTTCTCGCCTTGAGCTGCTTTAAAAGAACAAAGTGTGAGAAAAGAGCAGGAACGAGAAACATATATTTTATAACGTTTATATTATAATACACACATTTTGTATGCGTAGTGATCTGATTTTAGACAAACGTTTTCGAATTATTCAAACAATTACATCATTATTGCTTTGCTTTAAAACACACATTACACTATTAATGAAGTTCATTTTCCCATCCTTCCAGTATACTTTAATTATACATGTTTATTTATGATTATAAAACGGATAGTTCCAGTGCTTGATTCTGATTGGCTGAGCCGCGTTTGAACCTGTTGTAAATGACTCTACAAAGTAACAACAACTACAAAGTGTTGCTCGGCAACTACTTTGTTGCAACCACAACTGTTTCTGAGGAGCTACATTGTTTGGTGGAAGAATACTGTTTTTATTAATATCATTACACTTTATTTGCTCTGTTTTATTTTGTGGAACCTTACTACGTATATGGAATAACCGTTTTATAAAAGCAATAATCCCCGTGAAGCCGTGGTTTACAGTGAATTTATAACCGCTGAGGGCTTGCACCTGTTTCTGCTCCTCTCCCAGACTGTCCCACATGGAGGCCACGATCTTGGACACCTCTCCGAAGGTGGCGCTGGGGTTCTGGCCCTTGATGGCGGCCTGCGTGTCTCTGAAGAAGAGTGCGTACGCAGACACGGGCTTCTGCGGCTCGTTCGGGTCTTTCTTCTTGCCCTTATTCCGCGCGGGAGCAGCAGAGGATGCTGGGAAGGCCAGCTGCTCCGACAGAGACGGCGAGAGGGAGATAACACCCGACAGAGACAGCGGAGAGTCCACCAGAACGCTCTTCTGACCGGACACAGACCACAGATCACTTCATATCCTCGCGTAAAACAATCACCTGTTTACTCAAGACTGTTCTAAAGATACTCGAGAACACGGCCAAAATATCATCTTCTTCCTTTGTATTCTTGTCTTGTCTTGTTTTCTAGTACAAATGTCTGAACATTCTTGAATCAAGATGCGTTTACTTGACAGGTAAAATGACTTTTAAGTCTTGTTTTCTAAAAAAAAAAAAAAAAAGTTGAAAATGTTAGTTTTTGCTAATATAGCAAAAATATCTGCCAATGGGGCAAGAAAAATAATCTGGTTTAGCCTTTGAATTAAGATTACTTTTCTTTTTTGCGGTGAATAATCTGTGTATTTCAAATTAAAACAACAACTAAAACTACAAAATACTGAAGAGCACTTGAGAATTGCATTCATGGGCATTCTTTCAAACTTCTAAGAATGTATCTTTAGAAAGGTATTAAAAATGATTTATTTTCAAAAATCGTATCTTTTTTCTTAACATTGTTCTAAAGACAAAATAATTGGAATTCCTGAAGTTAATTTCATAATTAGCCTCTTAAAGTTTGGATAGCCGCCAATAAGTCTTAAATTGATCTTACAATCGTTAGTTTTAAATCTTAAATTCAAATCAATGTAAATAGCTGCTTCAAGTTAGGAAAGCCTCCAGTGCATCTAAAATCTTACATTTGTTTTAAGAAGAAGAAAAAAAAAAAATTTTTTTAGAACATTCTTGCAAACTTCTTGGAAGGTAAACTACTTTCTTAAATTAAACTTCTTTCTTAAGAAGGTCGTCCCAAATATATTTCTTAAGATTGTTCTTATCTTTATTCTTAAGATAATTCTAAACACAAAATTTAAAGAATAATTTGAATTCTTAAAAAAATAAATTTTCTTAATCATTGTAAATAACCTCTTAAATTTAAAGTTAGTCTCCAATGTGTCTTAAATCTTACATTTTCTTCTTTAAAAAAAAATGTACTCGAGAAAAAAATTACACTTTTAAAAAAATTTTACACTTTACGTTTTTACGATTTTTTTATAATTTACGATTTACGATACAATTATTTTTTACATTTTTTTTACAATGATAAAAAAAAATTTAATTAAAAACTTTAAAAAAATGTACTTGAGAAAAAAAATGTAATTACACTTTTTACAATTTTTTTACAATTTACATTTTTTTTTTACAATTATTAAAAAAAAACATTAATAAAAAACGTTTAAAAAAAAAAGTACTTGAGAACATTTTTATTACACTTACGGACATTTTACTTTTTTTTTTTTTTTTTTTTTTATTAAAAACTTTATTTAAACCTTCTTTAAAAAGCTTTGCCAAAAAACGTTTCCTAAGAATGTTCTAAAGACAAAACCTACGAATAATTAGAATTCCTGAAAAGAACGTTCTATAAAATCCTGATAAAAACATTGAAAGGGAATACATTCTTAGGTCCTGGATTTTGTCCAATCTTGGTAAAGGCGTGTTCTATCAGACAGACAGCAAGTCAATAAGCAGACGCACCCGTCTGAAGTCGTCCATGTCGTCGTCCTGCTGTTTGAACATCAGTGTAATAATAATACAGTAAATCTGCGTTCAGACGGTTTGCTTGTCAAATTATATATTTGTTCCTTTTTGGATCTTGACTAACCAAGATGAACTGTTATTGTATGGAAAAGAGCTGCATGAACATTCAACATGAGTAAACTGTTAAGCTGCACACATATGCAAAGGTCACTCTGCACACAGAGGAGATGCATTCCTTCAATAGCAGCTCAACCCGAGCGTGTGTTGTGTTCCTCACCTCGGACAGCCGCACTTCTGAGGAGGACAGGAAGTGATGAGCCTCGCCGCTGATGGCCAGGTAGCTGTCACTTCCTCCCGGGAACTGAGGACCACACACACAATCAGTTTGATTTAAAGCAGATTATACTTCACTCATACTGCTACAAGTTCATTAAAACTAACCATGCTTTATTACCATTTTTGCTGGTTTTACGAACAACTACTTTTTACCTCAGTATGCTTTCAAGCAGCATATTACATTGAACCAACTCCCTGTAATAATATAAATAATTAGGCAAAAATGGCTTTCAGAATACTGAATGTTCATGTACACTACCGTTCAAAAGTTTGGGATCAGTAAGACTTGTAATGTGTTTAAAGAAGTCTCTTCTGCTCATCAAGGCTGCATTTATTTAATCAAAAATACAGAAAAAAAAAAACAGTAATCTTGCAAAATGTTGTTACAATATAAAATAACAGTTTCTATTTTAATATCCTTTAAACTGTAATGTATTTCTGTGATGCAAAGCTGAATTTCCATCATCATTACTGCAGTATAAAGTGTCACATGATCTTCAGAAATCATTCTAATATGCTGATTTATCAACAGTTGTGCTGCCAAATATTTTTTTTTGGAAACTGCGATACTTTTTTCAGGATTCACAGATGAATAAAAAGTTAAAAAGAACAGCATTTATTCAAAATATAAATCTTTGCTATCGCTTCTTAACAATTTAACACATCCTTGCTGAATAAAAGTTCTAATTTCTTTCAAAAAAAGAAAGAATAAAAATGTACGGACCCCAAACTCTTGAACGGTAGTGTATATATATATATGGCCAAAAATATTGGCACCCTTGGTAAATATGATCAAAGAAGGCTGTGGAAATTAATCTGCATTGTTAATCCTTTAGATCTTTTATTTAAAAAATGCACATTAATCTAACCTTTCATTGGATAATAAGAATTTAAAATGGGGGGGAATATCATTATGACATAAATGTTTTTCTCTAATACACATTGGACACAATTAACGGCACCCTTTTATTCAATGCTGTTTGAAACCTCCATTTGGCATAATAACAGCTCTAAGTTTTCTCCTGTAATGCCTGATGAGGTTAGAGAGCACCTGACAAGAGATCAGAGACAATTCCTTCATCCAGAATCTCTCCAGACCCTTCAGATTCCCAGTTCCTTCTCTTCAGTTCACCACTCATCTTCTATAGTGAAGGACAAATTATTCAATTTCCCGGTCAAACTCCAGATATTAGAAGATTAAACCAAAAAAGTAAACTAGAGATTCCTATTAATGATCTGCTTTTAGACTCCATGCAG